GGTATCACATGCTGATTCCTGTCTGTGTTACTGTATAAATATTTATTAGAAAGTGTAATTAAAGGGAACTCGTATTTCATTAAAACAAACCAAAACTTTCACCCGAACCTAAGCCAATGCTATGAGCACCTCTAAAGAATGACTAAAAAGTTTAATAACACTGTACTGCCTTATAAAGTAGACATACTTTATGTATGTAAGAAATGACATGTGATATGCCACATATACAACCCATCGTCTATGCCAAATATAATGTGGTCACAAATGTGTTTCCCTCTGAAACATTGTAATAGAAATAACATTTTGAAAGACAGACCATCCTCTGAGGAACTGAACTGTGATAAGTATAGTTTGCAGTCACTGAATCATCACACACTCCAACTTGTTAATAATAAGGCAGTCCAACATTTGTAAGTCACATTTTTAAAACTACATTAAGATTTTACATTTTAGGATGTATGTTGAGATGAAATACCGGTTTAACAGCTGTCGAGGTCGAATCTACAAAACCATGTTTTTATGAAAGCCTGCCGTGTATTCCACGTGCATATATTCCCTCAGAAGCACTTTAGCTAATTCTTTCTGTTTGTCCCACATTCTCATCTCCTGCCTCTTGTCTCTGGCAGTATTTTCCAGCTCTTATTAAGCTCCTTGTCATGACATTCTGTAATAGTCTTGGCTGCTGGACAGATGATTCGTCCACTGTTCTTTGTGTGCAGCAAAGATGTTTGGAGACCCTTTGTTTTCACTGATTGGGCTAACATCAAAATATATTACACTGTGCGCATAATGCAAAACTCTTTTAATCTAACAGGGACATTCTCTAATGCCCATAGTGTTCAGTAAGCTCTTTATTTGCTTTATCTGTGTAGACTCCTAAATAATATACAAAATGTACTTTTTAAAATTTTCCAATAAAAAGTGTTACTTATGTAGGAGGGGCTGCGGTTTGTGTTCCACTCACTAATGCAGATAAACAAGCTGCAGTGTGACCCTGCAGAGACTACGTATTATATCATATATCAAATGCCATTATTCTAGTGTCAGTGAGCTTTTATCAGCCTGGAGGTACAAAGGAGGCATTGTGTCCACTTCGCTCCCCCTTGCAGTTGTATTTCCATACAGTAAGGTTGGCTTTATAGTTTTCGCCCAGGCTGACACATGCTGACCGCTGGCACTGCATCTGAACGTGTTGATGCTTATCATAATAATAGGACAGACTTCATTTGGCTTTCATGCACGGCCCACAGCACAGCATATGTAAAACAACAGACAGAAATAGATTTGATTATTCTGGATTTTATGCATTGACTAAAAACTCAAGGCCGGCTAACGCGGGAGAGGACAGTGGAGCGCTAAGCTGGAAGATTCCGTCCTCATTATCGCTTCACCCTCATCTCCTTAACTTTTTTTAGTTAGCGTTTTGCTCATTTTCTCACTTTATTTATGGGTGTTTATCATAGTCACAGCATGCTTTGGCCTGGAATAGGATATATTTTTATTTTCAGATTAAGTTGTTCTTTTCTGAAAGGACATTAATTTTTCTTTGGCATATACAGAATTAATATTAATCATTACAGAAACAACAGCTTTCTGTTAGTGTTATTTTTCCACATACAGGTAACTAATAATGGATTACTGAAGCTAAAAATATGTGATTCACAAACCACAGAGTTAAATACATAGAGGATATTGTTGATTTGTGGACATTTCTTGGTGATGCAGATTCAGAGATAATGGGATCCCCTGACAGTGCCCGTCACACTGAGTGTAATAGTATGTGTTTGTGTACTTGAATTTGATGGGTAACTCTAAGATGGAGCACATTTTCTTTTTCCTCATTGTTTTTTTCTTCATTCTGCATCTATGCTCACCATATTCCTTCTTTATTCTAATTTTTTTGCATTTTATGCCTTATTTTCCCCCATTTTGGCTTCACCCCATTGTTCATTTCTCCTGTTTTCCTGTTGCTTTTTCTATTATTACTTCTTTGTCTCCCTTTATGTCCCTGTCTCATTTGCCTCCTTTTTCCTGTCCTCCTCTTTTTCCTTCTCCCTCTCATGTTCAGTTTGTTGACAGACCTTCAGAGAAGACAGAAACAAAGGTAGACACCATTGTGTCTTCACCTCCTTCCCTCCTCCACCTCCTCTTCTGCCACCTCCTCATCTCTTTTTTTTTCGTTTTTTGGTCTCTCTGAAGTGAAGTTTCCTCGCTTGTTCAGGCTGTTGTCTCCTTTGCTGTTGCAAAACGACACAAGAGCCAAAACAACAGCTAGCGCCAAAGCACCTTCAAACCAAACAAATGCCTCCTCAGAACCAGACGACACAACAAAATATATAAAGAGAGTTGACTTTTGGATGCAGAAAAAACATGCGCGTGCGTGCGTGTGTGTATTTTTGACTGGGAGAATGGGAGCTCCTGCTGTGTGTCTTTGTGATCTTGTGAAAGTTCTGTTGTTTTATTTTGGAGGAACTGCTTCCTTCTCTCTCTTCCTCCCTGTCACTCCTTCACTGTTCTCTTCTGGAGCAGCAAGGTGATGATGAGAGATGAGGAAAAAATGACAAAAGTTGAGAGATGTCACCTTGTCCCCATTGGCTGAACCACTGTCTGAACGAGTGCAGCTGGCTTAGCTAACAAGCTTCGTCACTTCAAAGCTGAGACAACAATAGCAGCCATGCAGTTGAAGCACTCAGCCAACCACCAAAACACAGGGACTGTTAGGTAACATTTAAATAAAAACATATAAAAACACTGATGCACAGAAATCATCTATTAAATCACTATCAATTGAAACTTTTGACTGTTACTGTATATTATAGTACAAAGAGTCATTATTTCTAAAAGCAAATGCATTTCTATGACATATTTTACATAGACATGATTTAAAACCAGATGTTTAGCAGTTTTATGGCTAATGTGTTACTAACAATGTTGATTTTAGATTTGTAATCTTGTAAATACATACTGCATACTCTTAATACAAAGCCATTTCATGGACACTACAGTCATTTCATTTCATTTCATTTATTTATTCATTTTCAGGCACAACAAATACCTATATTGAACATAAAATACACAAAACAAAAAACAAAACTTGCCTGAAAAAGGAGTGGGACGAAGAAAACTTATTAAATCCCACCCCTATACTCACTCATCAACAAAAAAAAACAATAAACTTCCCGCAGCTACGCCCATCATTGCATACAGACCCATCAACAGCCCCGGGCAGATACAAGCATCTAAGCGGCAGCTCGCAGCCAACAATTAGAGCCTTCATAACTGAATACAGAATATATAAATTATAAATTGCATTACCACAGGTAACAGGCAGTAATAACTACAAGTAACAGACACACATACATATACATACATATATATCTACACACACAAGTACATATATGTACATGCATACGCACACTTTATTTTTTATTTTTTATTTTGGAATCCATACCAGCAATGGTAAGAGGACAGACATTACAGAGCACACTAAAACCCATCATTGAGTATACTGTGACCAGACCAACTGTTTGTAGAGAAATTTAAATCTATGAATATTTTTGCATTGTTTCAATTGTAAACTCAGACTGTTCCAGATTTTCACACCACATACAGACACACAAAAGCCTTTACGGGTTGTTCGAGTTCTGGGTAATTTGAATTCTCCAAAGCCTCTCACATTATAAACCTTTTCTCGAATTTCAAATCTAGTTTGTAAATTTGCCGGTAAAAGTTTAGTAAAAGCTTTATACAAAATTATGGATGTATTGTAATTAACCAGATCCTGGAATTTAAGTAACTTTGCCTGAAGAAAGAATTTGTGAGTATGATCTAGATAACCAGCCTTGTGAATAATACGCAGTGCTCGTTTCTGTACTGTGACTAATGGATTAGTTGTATTTTTATATGTATTTCCCCACACTTCCACACAATATGTAAGATATGGAAGAACCAGGGTACAGTACAGAGTACGAAGTGCATCTTTATCAAGGAATTGTTTCACTTTGTTCAAAACTGCGAGGCTTCTGGAAATTTTGGTTTTTATGTGTCTGACGTGGGGTTTCCATGAAATTTTGTTATCAATTATAACTCCCAAAAATTTGTTTTCACTCACATTATCAATTGGTACACCTTCAATGATAATTGGTAATTCTATTCATTTTTGTGGATAATTATTATTTTATATGCAGTTATTTGATGTCCTGTGTCTGGAAAACAGGTTGAGAGACACATATAGAAACTGACTGGTCACCTTAGTAGCTCAACAGTCAGATATTTCAGTTGGTTAAAACCAAAGGCTAAATAAAAGAGGTTATTTTTCAACATTGAACTGCATCATTGAATTAATACTAATACTATCCAATACTAATACTGGATAAGAAGCCATAACAAAACTATAAACCATATGTATATACAGTACTGGCCAAGTAACTAAATCAGATTCTGTTGTCTTCTGAGGACATTTTTCAAACATTTATCTTTTTTGGTTATAGAAATGTTATGAATTTTCCTGGGCTCAATAAAGATTAGTATTCAGTTGAAAAGGGCTTCTTTCCATCCATTCATTTATCCATCCCACCCATTTTCTTCCTCTTATCCAGTTCAGGGTCATGAGGGGCTTGAACCTATCCCAGCCGTCATTGGGTGAAAGGTAGTTTTGAATAGGGTTATTTAACAATACATAAATAAACAGATTAGTTTAAATACCAGCAAGAACCATTCTCTTATATTTTAAGTTTCACCTCCTTCTTGATTTTGCGAGAGAAGTAACATTCACAAACTTAATGGTGTTATAACAATTGAACTATTTTCAAGTGAGAGTGGAGCAGGTACATGGGGGAGTAATAAGTTGGCTAAATGCAACCATTCCTTTCAGAAGGACAGCTACATAATCCTAATCACTGTATGGTAGCTATTCAGAGCTATCTTGGATTCTTGAGTAACAGGATTTTTTCAAATCAGTTACATGTAGTAATGTCATATTTGTTTACTCTCTTATCCAGGTGATGACTGGTACCTGTGCAGGTTAACTCTGAGCATGCCCAGTCAGGCTGACCTGCAGTGGGCGATGTTTCCCTCACCTTACCTGGCTGCTATTGGTCCTGATGCAACACCAGGCTCTGTAGTGTATCGACTGTCAGCACGACAACGAGATGGGACACTAGGACGAGCTCAGTTCTTCCTACTTGAGGGTGAGTGGTTAAAATCTTATTTAAATTGCTGTATTGTGCATAATGACTATATAAATATTTTCTGTATACTGTATATGCTGAAAATGAGCTATTAAGATGTTAAGAACCCTTCAAAGATGAAAGATACATTTCAAATGCATTAACACGTCTTTTATAATATCAACACTCGCCCGACTCATTGTATTTTTTTCATTGTTTTGGGGTGTTTTTTACCTACCACAGTCAAACCTCCATCTTTTTTCAGTCAGTTTTTCTAAAAACCTGTCATGTGTTTGTTCCTCCTCTTATCTCCCGCTCGTATCTGTAATTAGGTCCGCTGCAGCTCTGCCAGGCTCTGTGTGACAAACCTGTTTTTTTCAAAAGAGTGATTTATAAATAAAAATTTGACTTGTTGAATTTCAATTACCATCAAATGGAAGAGGGAGAAAGAAATGCTCAAGAACGGGATGGAGCTGCGCTGTTAATCGCTCCCTGGGGCAAAGAAAGCTCCCAGATTCAGGAATAATAGGGAAGTCTCTGGAGAGGCAGCGAATGGGAGAGTCAGAGGGTGGGCGGATGGGCGCCGGTGGCTGTGGATTTTTTTTTTTTTTTAAGTGAAGAAAAATGGGGGAGGAAAGTAAAGGGGAGATATTTTGAGAGCTAATTTCTAATGCTTTCTTATTAAAAGCTTCTTACTTCCCCTTGGCGTAATGTGACTACATGTGTACGAATGAATAATCCAATAATTTATATTAAAAATGTTTTTTTAACATCATGCCAATGTGAAAATATATTCATGTAGAGTGAGTGAAGCCAATTAGGGGCATTAATGTTATTTTAATCAGTTACAGCATCCTAAATTTGCAGTTTTTGTTTTAGTGGCTTAAAAATGAGTTGAAAGTTTCAGTTTCTGTGGGTCTTTTTAAAAACAGTGTGCGCTCACTGACATCACTGTACTATTAAAAAAATAAAAGTTGAAACGAATGGTTCTTTTTTTATATCTACAAAATCTTCTGTTATTCTTCAATATACTCAACATATTCTTAGAAAACTGAAATAAATCACTGTCATTCCCTTCTGCCATGTTTTTATAGACTTAAAACAACACCAAGTTGCAAGACTCACTTTAATTTAAACTTAGATTTTATAAAAATTAAATGAATAAGACAATCTAATCATCAGGAATGCTACTCTTATAAAACTGTAAACTTGTAACCCTTTGTGTTTGTATTTGATATGCAAAATCTTCTGATCCAGTTCCTGTCAGGCGTCACCATCAAGATTTTTTAAAATATGTTTTTTATATTTAGTAGGTCCTCCAAACAACCAAGGAGAAGACCTAAGTTATAAAGTGAAACTTTCAAAAATAATTTCCACTTCAACCACTTTCTGTGTTCTTTATGTTGCTGATAAATTCAGCTGTCTCTCCCTTTCCTGTTTAGGACCAACTTTCAACCAGTCAGCATTCAGCATTGTTGTTGGGGTTTTCTGTTTTTTTGAAGTGCACGCAAGCACATCCGTATACCCAAAATCTTTCACTCTGCATAGTCAAATACCTACACAAGGGGGCTCAAATGCAGTACCATGAATCCTACTTATTTGGAATAAAAATCTCAAATTTTAATGGTTCCATTGTAAAGTGACAACTTAAGAATCTATAGCAGTCTCTAGCTGTAGATGAGGTTGACAGATATCAGTTTTTATTTTCAGAAGTTTCACAAAATCATAGTAGTGTTATTCCACAGTAAAATATATTTCTTCCTATAGTAACAACTACCATATATTACATGTCTGTCCAGAACAATTGGAGAGGTCATTGGATATTTTAGGTCACTGAATGCAGTTATAAAGCATGAGTCAGTGAGCTTTTAGAGGTGCTGTTATTCAGTTTTTGGACAGGTTTGCCAGCTGGTTCCCTGGCCTCTTGCCTAGTCTTCATGCTATGCCAATCAGGGGCAAGAAACCAATATGCATCTTCTTGTCTCTGAACGAAACCTACTTTAAGTCAGTTTTAATTTCAATTCAAAAGAGATTATTATGAAAGTGAGACAATAAAGGCAATCTGTAGGAGCTTTAGAACAGCGGTCCCCAACCCCCGGGCCTCGGACCGGTACCGGTCTGTGAGTCGTTTGGTACCGGGCCGTGAGAGTTGAGGCTCAGGTGTGAAATGTATGATTTTCAGGGTTTTTATCGGTTTTCAGCGTTATTTTGTTATCGTTTTTATCGTTTACTCGGTTTTCCTGGGTCTTTTCACGTGTGTTATTAATAAATCTTCTTTTTTCGGTACCGGTACTAGTTTTATTTTGTTGTATTTATCCGCGACACCTTAAAGGCCGGTCTGTAAAAATATTGTCGGGCATAAACCGGTCTGTGGCGCAAAAAAGGTTGGAGACCGCTGCTTTAGAAGCAAACCACAACTCATTTAGTGAGACTTTGACAAACAAGTGTCAGAAAAATCTCCCTTCAGCAGTCAAAACAAGAGAAGATGATTGACAGGTTGGATGCAGCTGCTGGTTCAAAACCCTCCAGTCAACAGCTGGGGATTCTTCTCTGCCCTTCATGTCTTTTTTTATCCGCCCATTCTAACCTTTCATCTTCTTTCTATTCATGACATGATATACAGCCTTTGCCTCTTTGTTTCGTTGTGTGCCTGTGTCACACTTTTTTTCAAGTTTCACTATTGTTCTGTGGTTAGTTAGCACGTTTATGCAGACAAGACACATCTTCCATGCAAACTATGGATGGCTGCAGCAGGCAGGATGGGTTTCCTCTTTGTAACCACTTTCCCTCGGCCACCAACCACTTGCCAACCAATTGGGGAATACAAATCTTTTTTTAGTAACTAGCAGTTGTCTAGGGGTCGCGGATGTTGTCTAGGCCTTTGTGAGTGGTACCTTACTTTGCCTATCTTTGTTTTTAACAATAATAACAATAATAAAAACACATTTTGTAATGGGTACCTTTCAAAACCTTACACAAAAGAGTTTTAAAAAAGTGCAAGAATGAACCAAGAAAATATCAATCAAGTCAGTAAAACAAGCTTAAAATATATAAAGTAATTAAGAACAGAGGATTCATATGACAGGTGGAAGACCAGCAGAGTGAGTATGACAGTTTAAAGAGGTGCATTATGAGATGGGAATTGAAAGTGGAGAGAATCAGTGTTACAGATGTTTCATGGGAGGCAATTCCAGAGGTGAGGAACAGAGGAACTGAAGCAACTGTTTGGTAGTCAAACAGGCATAAGGCATAGTAAGAAGAAGAGAAGAAGAAACCCTGAGGATGTGAATGGGTGTGTAACGTGCAGTAGTTCAGAGAGGTACTGCAGAGGGAGGTTATGGATTGCCTTTAAGGTGAGGAGCAGAATCTTAAGATCAATACGATATTTAACTGGGAGCTAGTGAAGCTGCTGAACAACAGATGTGATGTGATAAATGGAGAAACTTCTGTGACTACTTCTGAACCAGTTGAAAGTTATGGATGGATATGAGAGAAAGAGATATACAGGAAGCCATGGACATAACCAAGGTGTGAATAAAGATGGGAGTACTATTGGTTGTGACAGACAGACATTAATGTCTTTATATATTAATGTTACAAAGATGGAAGTATGAGGAGCAAGTGACATAATAAGTGTGCTGTCAAGGATGACACCCAGACTCTTAACCTGAGGGGAAGGAGAAACTGAGGAGTTGTCGATCGGGAGGGAAAATTTTTGACATTCTGGATGCCAATGAGAAAAACCAGGATTTGATTTCCTGGAGGAAGGTGGCTGGGAGAGTGGTGGTAGGTTTGGCTGACAGGTAGAGCTGGGTGTCATCACCATAACAATGGAAATTGAAATGCTGATAATTTTACAAAAGAAGGAAATAGACAGTTGATAAATAGGTGAGGCCCCAAAACAGATCCCTGGAGAACAAGTGGTATAACTGGAAATGAAAATTTCAGCTGAGATATTTAAGTTGACTGAACCAGGATAGGATTTAAAAATGGAAATTAAACCAGTTTATGGGTGGTTTATTAATTCCAGTAGAGGCTAGTCTGTCAAGAAGGATATTATGGGACATAGTGTGATAGTCTGCAATTGCATAAATAGTAATGGAAATAAAGAAGAGGAATGGTTAATAGACTAGAGTCAGCTGCTATTAGGAGGTCATTGGTGAATTTTGCAAAGGCTGTTTTCTTGAGAATCAATGGGACAGAAACTAGACTGAAACTGTTCAAAAATATTATTGCCAAACAAGTGAGCAAGAACCTGAGACACAACTATTTTCTCAGGGATTTTAGAAATAAATAATAGATAGAATATAGGATGAAAGCTACTGAAATTGTTGGACTCTGCACCAGCCCAAGAGGTGATGATGGCAGTTATTATGGTGGACAGAGAGGCTAAGCAAACTTTAAACTGTACTTTTCTTCTTGTCCTCCTCTTCTCAAAGTTTCCATGTCTGCTTTCTTTCTCTTTTGTCAAATTGTCTCCACATTTCTACTGCTCCCTTCCCTCTTCCTTCTCTTCTCCAGTGGGGACTCTTCAAAACGTGTTAATCACAAACACACACAGAAATAAACATACTCAGAGAATCCCTCTAGCTTCATATTACCTTATTTAGTTTTATAATTGGACAGCTGTGGCTGCTATCTATCTATCTATCTATCTATCTATCTATCTATCTATCTATCTATCTATCTATCTATCTATCTATCTATCTATCTATCTATCTATCTATCTATCTATCTATCTATCTATCTATCTATCTATCTATCTATCTATCTATCATTTAAATTAATGTTTTTAAAGGCAGAGTTTCCTTTTCTCTTTATAAAGGTGATGAGGAGTGCTTCGAGGTGGACCATCGTTCTGGGGAGATCAGGACAACCGGTCGACCTTTGACCCCCAGTAAGGAGTACCTCCTTCGGGTTCAGGCAGTGGATGGACATGGTCGTAAAGGGCCACCAGCCACTGTTGCTATCCTTGCAGGCTATCGGCCACCCCAGTTCACCAATTCCACGTACAGCCTGAATGTACCAGAGAACATACCCGTTGGCCAACCGTGAGTCCCTACAGCAGTTTGACATATTGTTATCCCTTGTTTGTGTGTATGCTCTGTGAATAACACTTACAGCATTATAACCACCTGGCTATGCTGTTGAGGCTTCACATTTAGTAAGTTGTATACACTCCAAGACACTCGAAAGTTCTGTAATACGTCAAGATCTTAGTGGCTAATCTTTTAAATCCTGTAAAATGCAAGATGGCATCTGAGACATTTCATCTAAACTGCCAGACTGCTATTATACATTTTAGCCCTTCACAAGTCAATTAGGTCTCACAGGTTTACCAGTTTCTTTGGAAATATATGCCTTATGCATACATACAGTGAAACTCCCAAAGAATAGCATTGGATGTTTATTTGCAGTATAAGTTGTTACAGTTTTTCTCAGTCGCTTTGGTACGTTTCTCAGATCAGAATTGAAATTCTCATAACTATTAGTTCAACCTCCACAACACTCAGTCATTTGTGCTCATCATAGTAGCAATTTCTCCTCTCTCTGAACAAACTGCAAATGATTTTGGACATGAATCAGTTGCTTCCATACATTTCCCTGCTGCTTTCTGACATTTCCATTTGCTTATGTCATGTCAGTCAAAAGTAATCATACCTATGGATGCTGAATAGTCATTCCCAATAAAACGAATAGTCATACATCCATTGCTTGAGTCATCACACACAAAATTGTTGAACTAGTTATCACATGCCAAAAATTGGCCATCTGTCAAGCAAATCCTATACCTTTCTGTATCATTTTTCCTGGAAATGTCTCCGAAATTGAACAATTGATCTCAGGTGAATTACAGCTGTCACTCATGAGGAGGCTCTACCAAATGGGTGATTTTATGTTTACATGTATTCTACAGTGAACAAGTGAATGTAGCACTAATTGTTTTGCTGTTTGCTGTGCAAATGTTAATGGTGTTCTGAGAAACGCACCAAAGCGACTGAGAAAAACTGTAACTTAAAAGAAGCTTTTTGCTACACGCATGCTTTCTGAAATATAAACCTCAATAAGTAAAAAAGGTGAAAGTGACAGTGTTAAGTTTTTCTTTTTCTTATCATTCCTTGTTACAGATCCTTCTCTACTCGACAAATTCTGAAGTCTTATTTTTAGCATTTAGGCCTCCACCAGTTACACCAGTTAAACCAGAAGACGCCATCTTGTGTGGTCTATTGACAATGACGGGTTCACCCTTTGCATGGATGTACAGATGTGTACAAACCAAAATGCCTGGCAGTTAACACATAAAAATAAATACTAAGCGCATATTTCCTGTATGATCCATTAGTACAAGTTTTGATACAGCACCTTATGCTGCTTTGTATCAAGCAACTGCATTAGAAGTGATCCAACAGGTACCAGTTTTATGTGCTTTTAATTTATATGTTTGTATATGTTACTGACAGGGTTATACACAGAGAGACATATTAGAAGTACTTGTAATCTTACATCTGGTACTATTGTTGTGAGTAGGTTTTATTAACAAAAGTGTCTGTTTATATTTCTGACTCCATATATACAGAAACATGATTTGCATTCCACTGCCTCAGACACAGAATGTGAAAATGGCATTTTGTGCATATGTGTGTCTGTCTGTGTGTGCCTGCTCCCTTGCTTTGCATGTCATGTGATGCATGAAAAGATGAGCCCTGTAGAGCGAGACAAAAGGAAAGAAGAAGAAGGAGGAGGAGGGAGAGGTGGAGGGATGTGGAGAGCGTGAAGGGATGATAGAGGAAGGAAGGAGAGGGAAGAGAAGAAAATGAAGGCTAGAGGGATGATGCAGAGAAGGCTGGGGTGGGTGGAGGTGGTTGAAGAGGACCCAGATGTATGAGTGTGGCCTGAGGCTGAGAATTTGAAAGTGTGGCAAATTCAAATATTTATTAAAAGCGAGGTCTGGATAAACATGAAGGAGAGTGTGTGTGTGAATCCTCGGGGCTGCTGGCGCAAAGCACATTGTATTAATATCCAAGTATCCATGCCACCCTGTGAGCAGTGTGTCTGTGGGTGTATCTCTGCATGTGGTTTCTGTGTGTCTCTTCTTCCATTATGTCCCTTTTATTTGTTTTTATGTCCTCACATGCACGTGTCCTCTGACCGTATGTGCGTCTGTGCATACCTGTGTGTTAGTTTATGTTAAATTGATTAATCGGGTTGCAATGGTGTCTGAGTTCAGAATAATACATGAAGGCTGCAGACTTTAAACGCAGCACTGGAGCTCGACCAGCACGTCACAGCTCCTCTTCACTTTATAAGTCTGTTTGGAAAAAGAAATGCAGATCAGCTTTCTGCAGACCTGTGGTCATGTTTATACTTTGGGCAAGGCACACCAAGTTCATTCAAAGAAATTCAAAGTGCTTTACACAGATAAAAACAGGAATACAAGCAATAAAAATAACAACAGTGCTAAAGTAGGTAAGGAAATGTCACAACCAATGTGTAATGACATTTAAAGAACTACAAAAGATATGGAAATTTCTCGATATTTTCTACTTTTAGGGGGCTTAGCTAACAGTTCCCCCGCGGCTGCAGTATTTTTGCTAAGCCATGCTAAGACATGACTTGGAGCTGACTGTGAAGTGGTGCACACATACATTAAAACTAACACAGTATTTTATCTGATTCAGCAGAAGACAGAGGTCTAAGAAAAGGATTTCATAAAATCTTGGAGAACTCAAGTCTATTTTTCCCTTTATTTTCTCTTTCTGGTAAGAAAACTGTTGCTAATGTTGCTTAAATTTCTTGCTTTGTGTGTGTTTATGTCCACGTCCATGTAGAGTTGCAGTTGTCCATGCTGTCTCCTTCCAGAAGAAGAGTCTCTCATACATGCTACTGGTTAATCCAGGGAATTTGTTTAGCATCAACCAGGAGAGCGGAGCGCTTAGCCTCACCAGGAACGTCGACTATGAGAGTGGTCACAACCTGCACACCCTGCAGGTCCGAGCTTCTGAACCCGACACCGGCCTTAGCAGCGTGGCAGAGGTACAGCTACACTACCAAGCATGCAAATATACTATTTATTAATCTGTGTAAAGTGACTAATACTTTTACAAGTTTGATGTGTGAATGCAAGCTCTAAATTTATACATCCATGTCAACAGCATGTAGCTACAGCTTTAACACACAGCTTTATCTTTTGGGACAAAGTTATGGTCCCGTGCACTGCAGTTAAAACAATAACCAGGGAAAAATAACACTCAGACAACCTGATAATTGAAAACAGAAGTTAGAGAGTGATTGAAAATAATTTATTATATCTGATAACTGGTGGAGAATGGTAGGCACTCTAAGTGTTCACACATCAATGGCATATTAAACTCTTACAGTCGAATCACATGATGGCCATGGAGTATTATGGTGTGAATTGGAAGGTCAATACAGAGTTGTAAGTGTTACCACAGCCTCTGAAATAAATCCACAGCTCATCATCACACATATCTGAGAACATGTAAGGGTGTTGACCCTTGACAGTTCGGCATACCACTTCTCTGATGAAAACTCATTAATTTAAAATGAGAAAGAAAGTGCTGCTGCTGAATCAGATGCTGTGATGCAACTCTTTCATTTACTGTTTATTAAATTTATGTGTTTATTTTGCAAGCATACCACTAAAAACAAACTGCTGAGCATCCCGTGAAGCTCTCACGATGAAAACTCCGTGAAATGCACAAGTTCAAAGCTGTGTTCAGAATTTAGGAATCACTTAGGAATCAGCAGTTTTGTGGTGCAGGAGCTTTCTTTTTATTTTGTTACAGGGTTTGCACAATAATAGATTATATGTGGCTCGAGCACACACACACACACACACACACACATACACACATACGTAAAGTGCAAAAGCCTGGCTGCTAAGTACTGACTTTTACCCTCAGAGTAAGCTTTGAAGACTTACTACAACAGATATCTACATCTGTTCACATTAACACACACTCCCACAAGCACACACACCAAGAGAAATCCATTATCACCTGCTCTCAGTGTCCAGATGGTTGAGACACAGAGAGAATAGCTGCTAAACTACCAGTGTCCCCCAAAGGCCACTGCTGCTCTATAAGCTTGGCTGGCTAATTTACTATAAATGCCCTGCCTGTTCGTGCATGCCAGTGTGTGTGTGTGTGTGTGTGCATGTGTGCGTGTGTGTGTGAGTGAGTGCGTGTGCATGTAAAAGAGAGAGAGGGGGTTTTGCAGCACTGCTTATGTTGCACCTTACTGTAGCTTCTGCGGTTTTTATTGCCTCTGGCTTCATCACCTTCATCAGACATTTTAAAGCCGTCAACATGTCTCTGTCTCTTTCCATTGTTCAGTCGAACAGCTTTATATTGACATTTGGTGTCAAGCTTAGTACCTTTTTTTGACTGTTAATATTATATGAATCTAGACTACACACGTTTTCCCAATTTTCTCAATATAGAAACCCCAAGACTTCAAGATAGTTTCAATAACACACTAAAATAGCATCTCTTTGCCACCTGTAAAGGAAAAACATCTTTAAATATATAACAGAGAAGGGAATTTAGGTTAAAAAAAATTATGTCCGTGAGCAGCTATTGGTTTGTTATTGAACCATTAGTTTATAAGTACACTTGTCTTTGCCTGAACTATATAAAGAATCCATCTTCACCCAGTATATGGGAATTGGCTGATGGGAATTTTCCCCCAAAATTTAGGTACATGACCTTTTGTCTACTTGGTGGAGATCCAAAAATGTCTAATAGACACACCAAGTCTCTCCAAAGTGTAAAATGGATATGCATGCAAGTTGCAGTACCAGCAGAGGGAGATATTTTTATTCCAGGCTACCATGAAAATAATCACATGAAAGTGTTTAAACAGACATTATTAACACATTTAAATACATATTAGCCACCTAGCTTAATTGTCTCTAGTGATGAAGGACACTGGAATGTATTTCATACCTTCCTTGCTCACTAGCGACCTCTTGGCTTTAAATATAGTATCTCCCCCTGCTGGTACTAAAATTTGTGCACGTGTGTTCATTTCACTCTTTGGAGAGGCCTGAAGCGTGAAATGGACACGGTGGACCGGCCTGTCTATTACATGGTTTGCTATGATATCGTGCTGGGAGATCAGAGGCTAGATCTCCAACACCACTGGCTGAAATGCAGCCCCACACCATGAATGACTGTACATACTCACTCCTGTCCTTTTCTTCCAACCACCTCTGTACATACTCATGAAAATTTGAAACAAAAAAAGTTTGAATTCATCACTCCAGAAGACCTGTTTCCAATGATTTTCATTCCAGTTCTTATATAATTTGGCACAACTTAGCCTTTACTCTCCGCCTTCTTTAACAATGGTTTCCCAACCACCCTTCAGTTGAAACCATTTCTGATAAAGCTTCAGCAAACAATAGAGGGATCAACAGTACTGAAGATGGATAAACAGAAGAAATGCCAAGTTCTCAGCTGAAAGCTCTTCATGCCTGTCAAACGGTGTTATCTTTGTGTTTTTACTTGGTTTTTGTATTTATCACTTTCAAGTAACAACTGGTCAAATCTATTAACCATATGAAATCAATTTCTTAGCAGATATTACAGAAAAAGTGTATTTGTGGTGTTTCATAAAGCTCTCAACTTTAACAATGTTTTCTATTACTAATAAACACTTGCTCTTATTCTTCATGCACAAATGAATCCCCCAGAAATGAAAAATGTTTTCTGTCAGTAAAAATAAGTCACACAAATCATGTGCAGCAAAGGATAAAATCAAGTAATTACTGTTATCAAGTGATTACTATTTGCACCACAGTGACTGCAGTCAGTGCTTCTGCCTTTGTGTCTCTCCGATGTAAAAAGGTGTGTATGTGCTTCTTTCTTTTGTATCAGTCTTTCAGCATAGGAAATATATATTCACCTGTTGAGTTGGATGTAAAAAAAAAAACTAATAAGGAATAGCGTTACTGTTTACGCTTCTAAATATTCAGTGCATGTTTGCAGAAGCAGTCATGCATCTAAATCCTCTCTGCTTGCCTCTCCTCTGCCCTGCTGTTATTACTGAACAGGTGGTGTGTCAAAGGTTCAGGACTGCCGAGAAAATCTGTGCTCAAGTGGTCATGTCTGCAGCCTTACCAGTTAAATCAGGCTTTATGGGAATGGAAAATAGCATTTTGGTTGGGCTCCAGGAGCTCGGGATAGTGGGTGAAACTAAACTGAAACAGCAGAGAGGTGATGATGCAGAGGCTCAAGGTTTAGGACGTTTGAAGGAGAAGTGGGGAGAACGAGAAAATATTTTTCATCCTTGACCAGAGGACATGTCTTCACAATGTTTGCTTCAATTATCTTGAAAAGTATATACGTTTAATAAAGTCAGAGTGTCTGCTGTGAATTTTACACTAAGACATTCTAGTTTCTTGTGATAAGAAATAGAAAATGTCTGAAAACAAAACAAAAATGACTTTAAATTTACATCTTCATGGTTTTTCTCTTCATTCTGTCATAGGCACTGGTTTGATTGGGTCTTTTGATTTTGATTAGTTTAATATAAACCTGAAACAAAGAATTTGTCTGCCTGATTTCTTCTTTTGTGTGTGTATCCCATAATAAACTGCATTATACAATCAAAAAAGCTCTGACATAAAATAACGCCACCCTGATGAATCACAAAATACTGCTCTTGTAATCAAATTGAAAAAACTGATTACATCCCTACTAGCTGTGTCTGTCAAATCATTGCTTAACCATTAAATTTCATGAAGATGGCTTTTTTATTCAGAAAAAAGTGGCACATGCAAACCACAGGACAATGTTTTAAGGACAAATAAGTTAAGAACCCTAAGTTAACTTTGTTTTGTGAAGACTCCTGATTATAAATTTTATACACTCTATGTATAGTCGCAGCTTGAGTTGCCACTATACATGGAGTGTAGATAAATCAGACAAATCAGCAGATAAAGCTCCATCTTTATCTACTGTAGCAGTCATTAAAATGTAGTCGAATCAGTGATTATGTGTGACCCAATTCTTTTTTTGTGTGTCATACTTCCCAAAGCTTTACTTACTGTGATGAAATAACTCACCTGTTCGCTCCTGCTGGCTCACGCTGAAATGAATATGAAACCAACATAAAGTATACCAGATATACCAGATAATAACAGTGGGATGCTCCCTGCAGGTGGTTGTACACATAACGGATGAGAATGACTGCACACCAGAGTTCCTCCACTCTATCTACACCAGAGACAACATACCTGAGAGCATCGCACCTGGAACCTCACTGCTGCAAGGTAACACACACACTGATCTGTCAAGTAGGGTCTGTGTGAACACAAAACCAACACATTACACCTGTGGTTAGACTGTACAGCTCATCTGTGTGTGTGTGTGTGTGTGTGTGTGTGTGTGTGTGTGTGTGTGTGTGTGTGTGTGCGTGTGAGTGAGTCAGAGCCATCTGTCATAGCTGCTGGTGACTGGTTGAGATCAAACACTCCAACTTCAGCGAGGCTTTGCTCTTATTAGGCGAGCAGCCAGCATCACATCCTCACACACATGCTTATTTTACCCTCTATCTTTGCGAGGACTCTTGTTGACATACTACATTACTGAGCTCCTTAACCGAACCTGAACCTTAAAACTATGTCTGAACCTCCAAGCACGTCTTTGAAGATTTTATCCTACAGTGAAGACTAACTACATCAATCTCAAGGCTGCAAACTCAGATTGGTCCTTACAGAGACAGATAAGTACACATAATCATACATACATTACAACAGTGTACAAACTAAGTTATTAATAAAAATGTCTCCCTTCTTCTTCTTTTTCCACCTTATCCAATCTCTTCATCTCTGTTTCCTACTCCTCTCACCTCTATCTTTACAACCATCTTCTCTGAGCCCTTCTTTCTGTTCCTTATTTACCCCGCGTTATCTTCTGCACTTTACAACTAATTTTCTTTCTTCTTTCACCTCTCTCCTCACCCTACCCACCTCCCATCCAGTACTTGCCCGGGACTGTGACTCCGGGATAAACTCGGAGATCTCATACTTCGTTCCCAGCAGTGACTTCAGCATCACATCTGGGGGTGTGGTCAGCCCCGCCCGTCGCTTGGACTATGAGCGCCCTAATCACATCTATGAGTTTTTGGTGGTTGCAGTGGATGCAGGAACACCCCCTCGCACCGGGACAGCCTCAATCCGCATCCGAGTCGCCAACACCAATGACGAGGCACCCATCTTTTCACAGAGCGTGTAAGAATTATCCTCATTCTTCTACTCTTTGCAGCCGTTTTCATTTTTTGTCACCTTTTGAATTGTTAATACAACTTTGTTTAATAATGAACATCAGCTGTGAGCTTTCTCTCTCTCTTTTTTTCCTGCCTCACCCCTGTCGCTGTCTGGGTCTCTCGCCCACAGAGTCAATCTGTTAATTAAGTTTGTTTTTAACTCAGAATCTATTTTTAATCCCACTGTTCTCTTCCATCTGTTTTCACTTCATCTTCACCTCTCCTCTCGCTCCACTGTCTCTTTCACACTTTTATTTCTTCTACTTTTTTATTGAACTTTTTTCTCATTCTGGCATCAGCCTATTTTTCTTTTCATACATTAATACCCTTTCATGACATCCTTCATCTCTTTAGGTCTGCAAAGTGCTTGTATGCAGTAAAGAAATAACACATCTTTCTCTCTTCCTCTCTGTTAGTTATAAGACCTTCCTAAGTGAGGATGCCGGTCCTGACACTCTGGTTGCCATCGTTCATGCCAACGACCCGGACGGAGATGGCGTCTCCTACGCCATCACTGGAGGCAATGAGGATAGCAATTTCCTGCTTGACAACCAGAAGGGTAAGGGAGCGGCAGCTGGTGTACATAAAATGTGTTTCTTCTTTTATGTAAACACAAATAAGACAGCAAGCAGCTGAAGCTGAAGGCCAGCAGCAGCTTCTAGTCCAGGTTATTTTTCCTCAGGACACAGAGGAAGTGGGTTCAGGTGAGATTGGCTGAGATGTGGGTGCCAAGAAACCTAAAGATGGAGACAGATTCCACCTGTTCTCCATTTATAATGAGTGGACCTGTCTGAGCCTCCTGAAGTCCATTATGAGCTCAGCTTCAGATTATTTTTTGAGCACCAACAGGACACATTCTCTACCTCTTCCCTGAAGGCTGTGTCATCTTCATCAGAGATGAGCCCAACCACGTTGGTGTCATCAGCATACTTGACTATGATGTTGGTTCGGTGGTTTATTAAACAGTCATAGGTGTCCAGGGGATACAGTAGGGGACTGAGATCCAGCCCTGTGGGGATCTGGTGCTGAGTGACAGTAGGGTTGAGAGGTGGGGGCTGAGTGGGACTGATTGAGGCCGTTTGGTTAAGGAGTCTTTGATACAGGAGCAGGTGGCAGGGGGTTTGAAGGTGGCCCAGTTTGGTGGTGATATAGCACTTCACAAAATGTACTTGCAAAGTGCTTTAAATAACATGAAAATAGATGTACGCTCTAGCATTTTGCTTATTAGGAAATGAGCACAACAGGTTTTCAGGCAAACCACGAAGCCAAATTTAATTGGCAGTCCAAGTACATCTGATAACGGTTGATCTTAACGCCAACCCTCATTGGCTGATAATTCATCTCATATCCTTCTACACATCCAACTGGCATATCTCATATAGGGCACACTATTGATAAGGTTTTACCCCTCCCCACAGTTGCTGCAAGCCACTTCATGTGCTTCTATCCTGGGTTTAACTAATCGGTGTCATGTTCACTGCCATTGCAGAGCAATACCACCAAGTTAAAATTACTGCAGACATAAATAACAATCTGCTTTTAATTATAGTAGTTCTGACCAAACTCAACTAGTAGTGACATGCTTGCAGTTTATCCAGTCTCAACTTTTCTTGAGGGGGCAGGAAAAGAGCAGCTAATTACGCTAATGAATGCTGAGCTGCAGCTCGGATTTATTAAATGACTCATGAACAATTGTGTAGACTTTACGTAATGTATATGCATGCACTAATGTTTTACAACTAGAGCATCTCTCAGAGCACAAAGCAAAAAACTGCAAGTCATCTTCATCCAATCAAATAGATGAGACATGGAAGGCAGAAACGCTAACAGGTGGTTATAAAGGTAAAAAAGCCCTAAATATCCTAAGAAATCCAACTGATCTGGCTTTTAAGAGTTTTCAAGCAGAAACCAAGGGATGTTCTGGTCATCTTACGATTGGTCACTTTCAGTGCATCACAGCTGCACACAGACAAACAGCTTTTTGATTGACAGTTTCTGTTCCACTGCTACACTGTGTGAACATCAAGAGAAAGGGCAGTTAATATAGTAAGGTTCATCCAGATGAATTAATGCATCTAAAAGGAACAGACCTACATGCATTTGCTATGATTATTATAGTAAGACAGTAAAAAAAAAATATAATTATTATTAGAATAAGTAAATATTCCCTTCCTTTGACCAGTACTTGTTGTGATATATTCCCATGGACTGACAGCAGCGATGTCTGCTTTGAATAGCACAAAAACTCATTAACTGATTATGAGCATTTTATTTGTTTGCCAGCAAAGTAGCTTTAACAGACACAAACAACACAAACAATAACTTTTATACACACACAAAGCAGCAGCAGCATTCAGATCACTCTACCAAGCTGCACACACATATACACTCACAGAATAAAGTGATTGTTGCCATGGTGACGATTATTTGGGATAAAGCTTGGTAGCATTAACAAGGCCAGTGAACCCCCCCTAGAAAACACGCACACACAAGCACGCATAAATAGAAAGAACATGAACACACAAATGTAGAATCGGTGCAGGAATATATAAACTATTAGAATATAAACTATTTGACATAATTGACTCATTTACATATTTGTCTCTGTGTCTTTGTGAGGGTCAGTTTGAGCTAAGAATTTTTTTTTTATTGGTTCTCAGCTTGGGGCAGAATTAAAGAGAAATTCACTGTTTCATACTGCATTTAGGTAAAAGGTGAACACCTTTCACACACACTTACTGATTGGGACCACTTGACAACAAGAAGATAAGCTTGTAGGCATTTTATTACCATTTCGAATCCTTTTTTTCTTTTGTGATTTTTTTAAAATCACATTGCATTTCTGAATGTTTCCTTTTCCCTTTCGCTGTTTATTTTCCTTGTGCTTTAAATTGAGTGTAGATAATTGCTTCTTGACCTCTCCTGCCTTATCTGATTCATTCATATTTAAAGGATGTTACTGTGTTGTATGTGTGTGCAAATAAAAAAAAAACTGTATTCACTGAGGGTGAGGCGCCAGGGGTTGCATCATGTCCATGAGTTTTCTCACAAAAGTACAAGTATAAATGTGTATGTCAGAGAAAGACACTTTAAAGATAAAGTTCATATGCAGCAGTGAGATGTTCAGTCATATTTTTGCATGTTTATCTGTGTGTGTGTGTTCATGTGTATGTGTCTTTTTCTCTCTAAGCCGCTGTGCCACCTTATCACCCAGCATGCACTGCTGCACTGCTCTGTGCCCCACGCACATATGCGTCCATGCACAAAGAGATATAAACATGAACATTTGCACATAAATGATATTTTAAGACTGTCTCTCTCTCTTACACACACACGCACGCGCGAACTTCAGCAGCAGATGGCCTTTGGCTTGCTTGGCTGTTCTGCTTTGTCACTTCAAAGAGTTCTGAAGTATTTTCATGTAGATGTGTTCGCTCTCTCTCTCTCCCAGCCTCTGTGTCTCTATTCATGTTTCTACCAAAGCAGCTTATTTGTTTGTTTGTTTGCACTGCTGCTCTGTTATGTTAATGTGCAAGTGATTGTTAGCGCAGAAAAATATGACATTTGTTTTAGGCCAGAGTTAAACTAATGCAAGCTTTTTTACTGGCTGCAGTTTGTGCCAACAATCTGTGCTGTTGGTGACCCACAGAGCAGAAAACATCACAACAATGCGTTTCATCTATGTTGTTTTTAAGCTCAACGTGTCAGTTGTCCTTTACACCAACTTAAGCTTTTACCATTGTGGACACAGAGGCTGGGAGCCTCCATCCACAGACATTCGGCATTTGTATGTGTATAACTCAAACGATGGGAAAATAACCAGAAAATAGCCTGTAACAAATTTAAAAGAACATAACATCATTACATAAAACTCTGAATCCAAAAAAGCTGTGACACTGTGTAAAAGATAAATAAAAACAAGATATATTTGCATTGATATGCAAATATAAACCTATATTTTATAGACAGTACAACATAGAAAACATAGTAAATTTTTAAAATGACAAAATGTACAATTTCTAGTGCAACCCCTAAGGTATTTATCTTTCTCCTGGTGAATGTGTAAATCACACAGCGACAGGTCTCACAAAATTTAAGACAGGGCCGTCCCATAAACATCTGGGAACTATATAAACCAGTTGGTGGACCTTTGTGAGAGGAATGTTGGTCCATTCCTGTCTGATGTAGGATAAAGCTGTTCAACAGTCCTGACTCATCTTTGTCCTCGGTTGACTTTTTTGCTGTGTTCGGTATCCAGACTCTTCAGATGCAGTAAATGGTTTAGAGTTGTTATTGTTAAGCATATGCAGGGTCTTCCCTGGAAAAGATTTTGTCTGGATGTATGTGTTGCTCTAAAACCTTTGTATACCTTTAATCATTGATGGAGCCTTTCCAGTTGTACAAGCTGCCATTTCCACAGGCACTGATTGACTCCCCATACCAACACCATCAGAGATGCAGGCTTTTCAACTGAGTTTTCATAACAACCCAGATGGTCCCTCTTCTCTTTAGCCTAGAAGATTTGACATCCATGTTTTTCAAGAAGAATTTCAAATTCTGATCTTTTTGACCACAGGACAGTTTGTCTCAGTCCATTTTAAACGAGCTTTGATATACATTTGTGGAGAAACGATGTTCATAGGCAATGATATCTAGACATTTCCTGAGTCTCTGCAATGGTTTCTTGGACAGAATTGTTCGTGTTTTTAATGGAGTTCTGCCTGAGGTCCCAAAGACCAAAATATTGATTTTCATCTTTGTCCCCACAGAGATTTCTCATGTAGATGATGAGATATTTAAAGTCTTCAGAATTTTACATCGAGGAACTTTGCTAAGATGCTCTTTTTTTGTACCCAATCATATTCCTGACCTGATGCCACTCTACTTAGTTCCAAAATGTTCCTCCAGTTCAAATAACTGATATGTTCTACTCTGAGTGAAATATGGTTGAGTAAGATTTGCACATCATTTTGTTTTTATTTACATTTTACACAGCATCCCAATTTTTTTGGAATTGGTATTATAACTGAGCCACTCAATTTTATAAATAATGCTTCATCTAACACTTGGTGTGCACCAGCGTTTGTATCAGAGTCATTTGCCATCTCATAATGAGAGATATTAGTAGCCTGGTAAAGTGTAAATAGCATTGAAAAAAGAAGCTGAACACCCAACTGAAAACACTTCCATACAGAATTCAGTGTATTTAAAGCAAAGTCAGTGAGCGTTTATAATTTGCAATTACATGTCTTGTTAAGGTGACTTAAAAATGTCAAATAGTTGAGGTGAAATTGAGGCCCTTTTTAAAGACACAAACATCCTGCAGTTTCACTTTTATGATGTCTTTGAGGGAAAGCATGAACAGCAGCACTTACACTCTGTGTTCTCCTCCAGAGGAACGTGTAAAGTGAACAGTGTCCCCTGGCATTAGAAACCACTTTTGGATGAAACATGAAAGAAGCTGAAATTTGTATTTCTCCCTGTAGAAAATGTTGATTTTTATTCTTTTTTTTTTTTTTAAATCTGCTAAATAAAAGGAAACCACGAGCCCTGCCAACCAACACCAGGCCTCTGTCATATTTAAAGATGTGTTGATTACTTTTGGACTTTATCTGAAGACAAAAATGGTGTAAAAGAAGTAAAAGAAACAAAAGTAAAGGCACAAAATAACAAAAAGGCTACTGACCATTAAGTGTTGTAGCTGCTAAAGGATAAAGCTATTTTATATAGAGTTTAGTGTGGCCCAATCTAAAGGCTTGAAAATGTCACAAGATATAACTTGAACTTTCATTATGTCCCTTTTTTTCTGAAGGTATAAATTTAGCCCCAAGCAATTTGATCTGAGTCTTTTTGTGAATTATATTACAACTCTTAGAAATGTCAGAAAGTCCACCTGCACATATTCAATTTGAATCTGACAAAAAAACCTTTTCTACCCTATTTGATTTGCCCCACCTGTATTTGTGTGTTTAGGTATTATTAAGCTGCGGCGGAGTCCTCCTCCACGCCTGAGGGGGCCACAGTACGTCCTCAACATCACTGCCACGGATGACAACGCATCTGGTGGGCCATACCCACTCAGCAGCTCAGCGCAGGTCATTGTGGGAATAAATGACATCAACAACAACAAACCACTGTTCAAGGAGGTGAGTCGAGTTATTATTTATTTTTACGTTATTGCAAATTAAATGACAAATTCTGACCCCTGACTTTGCTGTTTGGTTGTCAGTGTCAGAACTATAGCCTGAACGCAGCAGTCCTGGAGAATCAGCCTCCAGGAACGTTCGTCCTGCGCGTCCAGGCTCATGATGCTGACATGGGCGTCAATGGAGAGGTCAAATATGGCATAATGAACAGAGACGGAGTGGCATCTGGTTTTGATATTGATCCTGATACTGGTAAGCTCAGAAACACTCATTATAATTTTTACAAACAGTTCTTCCACAGCTTCTTTATTCAGCTACTCCTTTTAGGTATTTCCACAGTAGATCATCTGCCTCACCATATTCCTCACACCTTCTTCTGTCACTCCAACCATCTGCATTTCCTCCTTCACTACATCCATGAACCTTCACAATGGTCTTCCTCTTTTCTTCCCGCCTGGCAGCTCCATGTTTAACATTCTTTTGTCACAATCCCTCCTTTCTATATATTATCAAAATCTCAGCCTTCCCTCTTTCTTACTTTTTTTCCAAATCGCTCAACCACAGCTTTTCCTCTGGTATGCTCATTTCTAAAGCTGTCCTTTCTGGTCGTATCCAACAAAAATCTTGGAATCTTAATTCACAAACACCTCTTTGAGTTAGTTTCTTATGTGATTAAGGTTTTACTGTCTTATCAAATATGTGTGTTTCAAAAGTTTCTACACACACAGTACCTGTTGGATATCAGAAAAGCTTTACAATTCAGTCCAAACAATGACAAACTGAAATTCTAAGTGTGCTAATGTCCTCACTGTGTGTCAGGTGTGATAACCACAGCAGTGAGTTTTGACCGGGAGCGTCAGAGGGAGTATACTTTGTCTGTGACGGCCACCGATCAAGCAGAAGAGCCGCTCATTGGAATCTGTCAGATCACAGTGCAGATCTCAGATCAGAATGACAACGACCCCAAGTTTGAAAACAGCCGCTACCAGTGTGAGTACCATCACGACTCCTCCCAGTGACTTAGTCCGTCCGCTTCTTGTTCAACACAAAAACATCCTGTAGCTGTGTGTTTTGAGGGAGCAGAGGAAGTGTAGAAACCGTGTATTTGTCGTCACCATCATGCATCAATCTGCATCCTTGTAATCCTGGAAACCCCTTAGGACTGATGAAATGTTCGCTGGCAGGTCCCAGAGCTCCCTGTTTGTTTACTATCTGTGCAAATATGTGTTTTGATAAGCATAGTGTCAGAAGTTCTTCTCGTCCGATTAGAGAAACGCACAGAGTGTCTCATTAACTATTTAAGAGGCAGATTGAAATGTTTCTGGGACATGCATTTATTTAGCAGTTGTGAGTGTGTATGTGTTATGGGGGGGGGGGGTTCCTTTACAAATTATGGAAATGAGCTGGAAATCTTGAGCTTGTTTAGACTTTTCTTAGTTATCCATACATCATTACCAACATGTATTTCAGTGCAAAGATTTTCTGCTTAAGGAGACAACACAATCACCAGCTATCTTTTGGGTTGGTAATGCAAACCCAGACCATGTTTATGTTAAGTGTTGTCATATTTACAGTTGATATGAACAACTTTATGAAAAGAGGCACAAACTGAAACTTCAATAAATGAATGTAAAACATCACTTCTGCTTGTAAATTCTGGTTGTAGAACTAAACAGGGCTCGGGTTCCCTGGTACCTGTTATAACTCTGGGCTGTTTTAAGTGTAACCAAGCAAGATAGGAGTAGCAACAAGAACCATATGAATATGACATAGATTTACATTTAATAAAGAAAAAAGCAATTCCACAACTATCAATCACATAAATCGATGTGAAGTACAACAAAGAGAAAAAAATCTAAAAAGAATATGAAATCATTTTGTGTATTGAGAATGATGCTAACAGCAAAATATCTTACTATTAATGTTAATTGGCATAATATAAACAAAAGAAATTCACCATGGTGATGTAAGATTCTTTGTTTGTCAAAGTGAACCCTGAAAGGAAAATCCTGTGTTTGCTCCACCTGCTGGTTTTGGTTGTTTTTCTGTGACACACATTAGACTCAGCAGGATCTGATGTGATTATTCAGTTGAAATGTATCCAGTGAGACCCGTGACTGTGAAAAGGACATTATTATTGACATAATGCTTGAAATGCAGTCTTACAGAGGCAAATGCACCTCGTCGCTGCTCGTTGTTTTTGTTGTCTGATCAGCGCTGACACACATCACAGTCAGCAGGATTGGAGGTTATGTTCATAAATTTAAAAATGCATCTGTTGACTTTGCACAGTGAGACCCAGAAATGACAAAATGAGGTGACAGACTGCTGATCCGGCACAATGTTGTGTTTCCATTATTATAATACCTGCTTACCAACACAGAACATAATGTTACACTGCTTTCAGTCAACTGTAATGATTTGGGTATTCGTGCTTTGGACATACACAGTGTTTCACCATAGCGGTTCCTGTAATAGTAGTAGGAGTTGCAGTAAATCAAACTGGTGCTAGTAGAACTTCGCTCCCCATATGACAGCTGATGTTTTCCCTGTCAGACTTTCTGAGAGAAGACACTCCAGTTGGAACTAGTTTCCTGCGAGCAGCAGCTCATGACGATGACCAGGGGAGCAACGCGGCAATCACCTATTCACTGTCCAGACAGAAGCCGGCTTACCTGCACATCAACCCGAGCACTGGGTGGATTTATGTCAACCACCCAATCTCTCAGGTCAGAAGCACATCAGCAGCCTCTTCATGCTGCAGCATGATGCAATGTCTGCAAGTGTCCACACTTACAAAATTACTTCTCATATCAAAAATGTCTCATTTCATTCTCACAAATTGCTAAAACTTCCTGGAAATGAACACCATCCTCAAAAAGAGCAATGTTTTGTGCTTTGACTCCCTGCAACAAATTACAGACAGTGAACTAGATGCAAGATCCAATCTCTACAATAAGGGTTAGAATTATAATAATAACACTATTAGCACTTTCAAAACACACAGTTACAAATTACTTCACAGTCTGAATAGAGGTTTATATATGGTTGAAATAATCTGCTGGAAAAAGTGGGAAAAGTCACTCATGCTCAGCTGCAGATGGGGGGACACCATGATTGTGCATCACTGTGTATCATCCTCTGCAGTGAGTATATGCGAACTAATCTCTGTATATTTTGAATGTAGATATAATCCAGGTGGAATAACACTGATGATAATCTTACCATTCTTTAATGAAAGTAGGCTAACATTAATGTTAGCATAATGAATGATCCTGAATATTTCAGCATGTGGCAGAGTACAGTCTGTAACTGTAACATGTTTTCTAATAAACAGGTTACGAGCTCTTTTGTTTATTTAGAAAAAGAAACATCCTACTTATTTGGGGGAAAAAGAGAGAGAATGCCACGTATGCAGTGAAAACACAGATGTCCCAGTTTTACACTGGGACTTGAATGCATCTTACAGCTGAAATTTGTCTCAAAGCCCCATGTGGAATGCGACTTGATTTGTGAGTATCTCTGTGAGATGTTACGTGTAGTTTTAGGATACGCACAGAAAGGTTTTTGAAACCTAAAATTATCGGAAGACGAACTTACTAGGTTGTGCGTAAATGAATAGTATTTATTCAGGTCGGGATGTATGCATTTGTAAAGTAGTTTTACGTGTGGTCAGAATGCTTCGTGTTTGTGTGCGGATCGAGGCATGAGCTCCTGAGTCCTTAAAAGTTGCACACCAATTCATTGTACACATTTGTAAATCATGTCCTACACATTTGCAACACGTTTGAGGCGCATTTCACTCCACACTCTAAGAAATAAAATGTTGCATTTACTCCACCCAGTTATGTCAACCGGTTCCACATAACTGGGTTAGTGAAATATAAAATGTATGATACACTTAATTTGAACAACAAATTTTAAGTACATCTGTCAAGCTTTGGCTAATTAAATGCAAATCACAAGAATGGTGTTGTATTAACTAAATATCATAATGTTGATCTAACTAACATGTTGAGTTAAATTGACAACACTAAATAAAATCTACTCAACCAAAACAAGCCCTACTTACTCTATAAAATAAGATGTTGCATTTACTCCACCCAGTTATGTCAACCGGTTCCACACAACTGGGTTAGTGAAATCTAAAATGTATGACACATTTAATTTGAACAACAAATTTTAAGTACATCTGATAAATTGACTAACCCTAAACGAGCTCTACTGAAACTATAGGATTAAATTACTTACTCTATTTAAAGTAAATTGAATAAATCAAACAATTTTATTCAGTTAACCCAACTTTAATAACACTTTGTGTAAAATGTGCTGAAGCAAACTTTGAGCTGTTCAAAATTCTAGATCAATGCCTTTTTCCTAAACAAAAATATCTTCACATATATGCAAGTGCATATTAAGTTCAGGAAGACATAATACAGAATGTTAAAATCAAGTTATTAAAACTGGAAAGTGTTGTGATTCCAACATTTTTAACATTAACATGACTTGCTTCGGGTACAATGGAAAACTCACAATACAGTCCTATAAACAACAAGTAGAAATGACTTTAGTGGCATTTTTGTCCATATTTAAAAAACCTTTTTTTCCCCCAAAACTTGAAATGAAGTCCAAACTTAGGAGCAGTCTTGTTCAATGTAGCTGGATGGTGGTAAAAGTTCAACATGAACAAAGCATGCCAAAAAGTATGAGGCCTTGCAGAAGTTCTTGCGGAATTCAAACTGAACAGTTTATAAAGTGCAAGGAGATGGGTTTGAGAATCTTGTAACCAGTTCAGTGTCCTCTATAGTTCAGTGCAGGCTGTTTCACTCAAGCAGTTTGTTTTTCAGAACTTGCACCTTCATGGATAGGTTGTTCCCATCCAACTCCATCAGCACCTTCTGAAGAAATTCAAATGTGTATTTCAGGTGCTTTGGGTAGCTCAGATTTAGACTGTAGATTAGTCCAAGCAGGAGGGCACACCCCTTTGCCACATCACTAAGAGCTTTCAGCACAGTGTATCCTTCTATGATGAAACCAATGTCCTCAGGTGTATCTGCAGAGTCTGCTCCTTCATGTCTGACAACACAGACTCCTAAAGTCAGCTGCTCCGTTTCTCTTCTTGCACTAAGATCCACATCCTTAAAATGAAAACAAAGGGGGGGAAAAGTTACTTGCATATAGATACATATGAACAAATGAGCCCACCTTCAATTTACTATCCCAAATTAAAAAAAACCAAACAAACAAACAAACTGATCTTTCCCCTTTTCTAACTTACCAAGAATTCCTTGAACAGGTCATCTGGCTTTTTATTTAAGTAGACACAGATAGTTTTTAGGACGCATTCCCGTTAGGCACTGATTCTTCTGAGTCAGATCAACAAATATATGAACACAAAACTAGAAGCTTTTCAATTTTGACAATACATGAAAGCTTTCACTTTTGCTTTAATCAATTCTAGACTGTTCAACAATATAATTATTAATTGTACCCTTAAAAATGTTAAAAAGAAATAGAAGATTAGAACTCAGCAATATGGATTCAAAATCCTATCATAATATTTTCTGGTATTTATTACGATAACAAGAGTTACAATAAAAGATAACAGTAACCACAATCACATCTGAGCCACTTTTGTTGCATCTACTGACAGACAGAACTAGCTGACCAACGTAAAATGAAGGGGGGAACACACAAATTGTCACTTTGATAATCAATGAAACTGATACAAGGAGTTAAATGCATTACATATAGCTGTATTACACATAATGCTGCATTTTAATGACACAAGATAAATGCATGTCTTACACTTTAATCACTGATATTAACACTAAACCAGATATCAACACGGGTAGAATTCCTTCAAACAATGTAGCAACTTATTTGATGCATGTTTCTAAAATACACTATACATATATTTCATTATTCAAACGGATAGGATCGCTGGCGCTCCTGGTGCCGATTACTGACACCAGGGAGCATGCGCGGTAGATGTTGGGAATAATTTTAAATCTGCAGTTCTTAGTAGGCAAGTTGCAGCTTAACATGAATCGTAAAACATTTTGGGAAATTACACCGAAGTGGGCCCGATAATATTTGTTAAATGCCTGACTACTAACACCTGTGAGAGGCATACAAGCTAGAATGCTAAAAAAAAATTACCAGACATCATTTGTTTTAAAATAAAACATACAGAAGTACTCCCGAAAATGTCGGATGTTTATCATTTAGTACACATTAACCAAATTTGTCATCCTTAAATGGTTGTACTTACCAAATAATCCTCAAATGGCAATGGATTTTATCCAGGCTTCTGAGCATGATGCAAGTTTCGGTTGAAAATGGTGGTTGTTCAAACTTCCACACTGCACATGTGCAAACTGAGAAGTACGGAGAGCCTGTTAGGACAATCCTCTTCAAATTAAAGTGCTGTTCATTTTAAATGAACTTTTTACGTTGGATTTAATGTACTGCATTTTGTTGTATTGAAATATTGTGTTATTAATTAAAATCAAAACAATATCCTTGTGTTTAGAGTTAAAAATCAATTGGTGACATTAATTTTAACATAAAACGTTTACATAATGCTAGCAACATCAATGTATCATTTTTTAGAGTGCATAGGTGCATATATATGAATTCTAACATATGTGTCAGATAAGTATGATGAAAACCATTTGAGAGCAAGGCACTGATGATGATGAGTTATCACTTTAGGTGACCGTTGTTTTGATTTGGCGCTATATAAATAAAATTGAATTGAACTGATACCACCACAGTTCTGTTATCTGTTAAAAAGAATGGTATGATTAGTGGTATCAGACGTTGGAGATAAGTCTAGCAGGATTCAAATGTAATATTAACCATTATCTAAGTGCATAAGTATCATTAGTAGTTTTCACTAATGCCGGATTTTGGAAATGGACCTATAATTCTCTGAAACAGTGGCTTATAGGGAGGGTATTCAAGCACAGCGGTTATGCACTTTGTTCACCCCAACAGCTTCCAAGCCACCCCAATCCAATTGTAAATGTCACCCTAAATCTATTTAAACCCTGTCCAGCTATGATGACCTTGTGCTATTTCCATGAAAGCACAGACGGTGGGCCATATCACAACACAAAAACATTGTTTTAATAATGAATAAATGTAATAAGCTGGATAATATGCACATAAAAGCATATCCTCAGCATGTAAACAAGGCAATGCAAAAAATTAAACACAACTGGGATATTATGAGGTCACAAGGTCAAAGTTATTTCCAACAGCAACAGCTGCTCTGATGTTTCCACTGCGTGAGGAATGAAAGTTGCATCAAACAGACTGTTGTTTTAAATCTTTAATGGTTGTCATCATTATGTGTGTCTGATTTCTCTTCAGTACAATCTTACAATGTCAAACTGAAAATCCATAATGAAGCGAATCCGTCTGTTAAGCTAACGTCGGCGATGAATGATGCCTACTGTTCTTCTTCTTTTGTCACTGTCATCTCCTTTCTGTTCTTCTTCTCTCTGCCTCTCATTTTCTTTTTAGCAGCACTTCAGTCAATAATTTAGCAAAGGAAAATGTATCCCTACCCACTTTCTTGATTCACTTTTTGCAAACAAACTAAAGGATCAATATTTTCTTTCTTTCTCTGCTCAACTATTTACAATTTTTACAAGTGTTTGGTCTTTCTGAACTATCAAAGAGCTACTTGATCATTAAAATTTGATTTTGAAGATAACAAGACCAAGTTTTAAAGGCAAATCAATTCTAAATAGCAAACACCCTTATTTGTTTGGTAAAACTTGTTAAAACGAAAATGTTCTGATCAGAATCACGAGTTCCTTGATCTTAATTACTCCCTGTTCATCTCTTTGCAGACATCCAGAATCAACCAGCAGATTGTGGCCTCAGATGGAGGGAACCGCAGCAGCTCAGTGGAGCTGACTGTTATCATCACAAACGTCCACAATCAGCCACCACAGTGGGAGCAGTCCGAATACTGGGTCACTGTGCCGGAAAACACCGTCCGAGATGCCAAGATAGTGGTGAGTTTATGATGAGAACATTGAGCCCTGAAATGGTAAAATGATAACTAAAAAACATTCAACTTTCACTTTTCAAGAAACCATTTTTTGAGATGGATTGAGCTTCGTGACATGGTGTGCTTCCTTGTTAAAGGGATGCCCATTGTCAGCAAAAATACTTGGGTATGCTTTGGTGTTTAAGTGATGCAATGTGTGCAAAGAAAATTCTCCCCACAACATTACAACACCACCAGCCTGAACCGCTGATACAAGGCAGGATGGACTCATGGACTCAGATGTCACAGCAGAAATCGAGACTCATCAGAAGAGAAGGGTTTTTTTTCCAATCTTATATTGTTCAATGTTGGTGAGTCAGTGCAAATTGTGTCCCTGGTTTGCTGTTTTTAGATGGCAGGAGTGGACCCCAGTGTGGTCTTCTGCTCCTATAGCCTATCCGTTGTATTACGTGTTACTATTGGAGTTATTGTTGACTTCTTACCAAAGCAGTCTGGCCAGTCTCCTCTGACTTCTGTGTGTGGGAAGATCCCAGTGGATCAGCAGTTTCTGAAATAATCAGTAATTTCAGAAATAATCTCAGAAATAATCAGACCATCCAGTCTGGCATTCAAAGTCACTTAAATCACCTTTCTTCCTCACTCTGATGCTTGGTTTGAGCTTCTACGGGTCATCGTGAGCATATCTGCTGCCAGTTTGGCTGATTAGATATGTTCATTAATGAGCATTTGAACAGGTGTACATAACAAAGTGGCTTGTGAATGTATGACTGAAAAGGTGCCGGTCTGGGAACTGAAGCACGCGTTTCTTTTCATCAGTATCAGTAGCCCTAAGAGCTCGAAGGTGACATGGGCGTGAGAAGGGGATGACTCGTAAAAATGGAGGAATATTTAAACTCAGTCACCCTCCTGCAGCAGTAAAAGAGTTCTATTTCATTTACATCCTGCTTCACGTCTGTGCACAGCACCCCGAGGAGGCTAGAGATACTCTTTCTTCTTCTTCATCCCTCTCTCCTCACTTTCCAGCTCATCCATCCCTCTCTCTCTGTGTCAGCACGTTTAACCGAGCACTTCTAAATATTTTCTGCCAAGCAAACAACAAACCAGCCCCGAGTCTGTCTCACCTGACTCACTGCAATCTCACACACACACACACACACACACACACACGCACAAATGCACACACACTTTGCTTGTATACCTCTGGTGATTTTTTTTCCTCTTTTGATCCCTCCATCCTAATTTGCTTCCTATTCCTAAGCTGATGGTTTAGAAGGTAGAGGAGTTTTTACCCTCCAGCTGCTCGATTTCATGGAGGTTAGTCAGTTTTCAAATAGTTGGAGGGTAAGTGTAATCCTGTGTGTGTTCGCGTGTTGTTGTGCTTCTTTTCAACACCGTGTTTTCGCTGAAAAGACGATGATGGTGATTGGGGTTCCCACCCACAGCTCCATCTGTCAGAGATGATTGAGCAGAGCAAGAAAATTACACCTGCTGTCGGAGCGTCACAATGGACTCCTATCACCTCAGAAAAACAGACGTTTAATTATTGTCTTTAACCTGACAGAGGCTGTATGATGCAGTGAGAAGAAGTGAAGAGGGGTGCTAAATTAGGGAAAGGAAAGCTTTATGGTACTGAAAGATGGATTAAAAAAAAGGCTGTGTGGATTTTAGTCTTTTTATGTTGACAGTAGGAGAAATATAAAATAACACGAGCTTTCTCCTTTAATCAGATGATACAGTTGCATCTGAAAGAATACACTTTACACGAATGTGTTCCTTGTTGAATGTGTCTTGTTTTGTTCAAATTAACTGTGGGAGTGAGATTTTTCTCCCTTCATCAATGTTTCATCTCCTTCATTTTTCATTCCTCTAGAAAAGGCTGAATCTTTCCACTACGCTCTCCCTGTCAAAAAGTATTACCTGAAAGCTGAGCCCAGATGCACAACTGTTGGACAAAATACTGGCAAAGGAAAAACAAAAAACTGTGATCAACTGAGAATCATCTGTCTGCATGTTGAAACCATGTATACATAATGTTTTATGAGCAATAAATTCAGTGGACAAATATGTTAAGTTACCCAAACCTGGCTACATATACAAAACAATGGAAGGCTGAAATGTCTCCTCCCTCTCTTCCTCCTCCCTCCTTTGTCTCCCCTGCGGTGTTAATTGCGCTGAGGAGGAACTGTTGTTTTAAATTTAGCAGCCTTAATAAGGTCTGTTAATCACATTGTTAACGAGGCAGAGGGAGGGAGCCGCTGCAGAGGTGGAAGATGCTCTGCGTGCGCGCGTGTATTAAATCTCCATATCAATAAGCTGAAGTCATCTCCTGCTTATGTGTGTGAGAGTCGCATGTTATAATAGGCCTCCTCATCAGCTGATTTCCTCTTGTTTTCTTCCTCATCCTGTTGATGTTTTTAGTGTTCGCTCTTATGCAAACACTTTCTCTCATGGCCACAAATGACTTTAAATATTCTCTTAGATTTACCTTAAAATCTATCTTCTAGCTATCCACTGATGCTTAAAAATCATTTGGAAAGTATAAAAAGAAGTTCATTTCAAGCATCTGATAAAAGAGAATATGTCTGATGTATTGCAGTATCACACAAAATGAAGGAATTTCTGACCTGTGTGCATTGCAGTTTTTTGAATAGCGTGCAATAGGGATGGACAGTTGTCTGCCTTTTCATATCACCATATTTTCATTATGAAAGACTGCAGATAAACAATCCAGTCGCCATCGGGCATATGGGCCAGAGAACCTTCTATGTAATCACTCATGTTAAATGTCAGCATGGGCAATTCTACAGTGTGGTATTTTGGTTCATTTTATTAGAAAAATATGCAAACGAGAACAACTACATTTTGAATTCAGCTCCAGAAAACACAGGGAATATGATAACAGAGAGCACAGTGGGGGGTGGGGGGTTGGGGGCGTTGGAAGACACCGTCCATCTCTTTCTTTCGGCTGATTTGTATCAGTTTAATAAGGCTACCCACGTGACGGGCTGATAAATGAGATAATAAGACATGAAACACACGAGGCAGAAACACTAATTATGTTATTTCCCAGATAAATAAGCAAAGGAGCCATTAAAAGTGTAATTACCACATGTAAGCATCAAAAAATGGAGCAGACCCCTACAAACACACACACCAACCCTGATGACCCCACCTTACCCTTTTCAGCTGACTGCTAACTGTTAGCATTTGAAGCTGACAGGGCAATCTGTATTCCAGCTGCTGAATCACTCTCAGCACCAGCCGCACCAGCTGAGAGCGATCTGCTGCGATATCTCCACGGGCATTAATCTGTGTGGGAGAGGAAGGCAGACACTGATCAGCTTAACTTCAGCACGCTGCACTGATGTCTAATGAGATGATTTCTCATTAGTCCTGATTCCATACACTCTGCTGCTTCGGCCTGCTGTGAGGCTGAGCCACGCTCCACTAACATACCCTCACGCAACTCTTCACCTGAAACCGGATGCCTTCATCTCGGGCTGTTTGTGAGATTTTAGATTAACATCCTGTTTAAAATTTTTAAGAGACTACCAATGGAAAAACCAAACAAGAAAGTCAGAGTCTCATCTGTCCTTTATAACTGCTGCAGGAAAGCAAAATGGATTAAAAGTCAATTTTATACTCATCAGTTAAAAATCAATATAATAAGGAGAGATCGTTTGGAAGTAAAGATGAAATTAATTGGAGAAACAGCGTGTAACATAAAATTCTTTTCGGTTAATAGATTCTGATGAAAATCCACATCTTAGAGCAGATGATATGAAAAGTAGGAAATAGAGATGGGAACCCCCGGAGTTCAGACAGTTGTAGTGGAACACAGTTAGCAAATGACTTGAAGTGGCTTCGGTTGAGATGTTCTGCAATCTGGATAAGATGGAGATGAAGTGGAGGAAGACTGCATGATAGATGGTCTGAAAGGTAGTAGAGAAGTAGCACAGTGGCAATAATATTTGCAGAACAGGGATGCATGCAAATACAAGCAGGCAAGAATTAAATGTTAGAATTAAGTGTTTTTCTCTGTGTGTGAGAGTGTGTAGTCATCCCAGCATACTAAGTAGTTGGTAAATGCATTAGATTGAGACTGTTGGAGCTGCTGTGGTCACTGGGTCTGAGGGCTGAAAGGGTTTCAGTGTTTGAAGTGGCAGACAGCATTTCTCACTCAGGGGAAACATGTTACCTCTTGTGGAAGTGACGACAAGGGCGACGGTTGTTCAGAGGTGATTTTTGTCCTTACACTGGAGCTGAGATAGGTTCTCCCCTGCTTTCAGTCTTTGCTCGAAGCCACCATGTCCTGAACTAAAGGGGTTAAATGATTCTGTACTGACTGTACTTTATATTTATAGTGGCCATTTTACAGAACCATTTATAGATGTGGCGGTCAGGCTGACAGATGCACCGTTACACTGAATTAAGAAAAGATTTATTCGTAAGTGGTCGTCAGCAACCTTTTCTCTCCCACTCATCTGCCTGCAGGATCTTAGCAGGCATAGACAGCCCTTGCTTTCTCCTTGATTTTTCAGTCATGTCGTTGTAGGAAGATTTAAAAAAAATCATGCATGCTCCCTCCAGTAAAAGCATATTTCATCATCATTAATTATTAATACCAGAAAAACTGCTAATTAAACAGGTCATATTGCATTTTTTCTGTCCAACAGTTCAAAACTCCTGCTTTAATGATACAAGAATGCTTCCATATTAACTGCTGTTACTCGTACAATGACCCTCTTCGCAGCTTGCTACCGAGACCACCTGACATATTTTATTTGCAGCTGAGTGGACACAGGAATCTTAGCTGAAGTTACAATCTAAATAAATGAGCCCCTTTACACTTTAGTGAACAAAAACTGTGGTGGTAAAAATCAGAGTGAGTCAATTAACTGGAAATTCATGCGCGCGTGTGTGTGTGTCTAACAATCCAGGTCATAGCTTACTGTAAAATGAGGTGGCATCACTCAGCCATGGAAAATACAGACCCTCCTTGGCAAGGTGGGGAGTGTGCGGTCAGGAAGGACAATAGCACACACCGTATTTCCATCATTTCAAAGGACATTATACTGACTTTTTGTGCATTTCCTTCCAACTTAACCTAACTATGACCTTAACCTAAACCTGAACTCATTCTGAACATAAGCAAGAGGTTTATAGTAATAAGGTTTAATGATTTAATTTCTGTGCCCGAAAGGAGCAATATCTCCACAATGTGACTGTGTAAACAGATTTATGACTCCATTTCCCTGAGGACATAAATACACACACATACACACTTTCTCACTCTAAGGTCAGTTTAGTCTACTGCCAGGAGCATAACACAAGTCTTAAAAGCTCTGCTGCTGGTAGAAGAACAGCTCAGGACAACACACTCTGATCCAGACACATATTTTATTTTAAAAAAACACAAAAAGGACAAACATCAACAAAGCAGAAACCGAATCCTTTTTGGGTATTTTGGAAAGTTTTCACCATGAGAGCTTTATTTCCATAGAAGGACTGAGTTGCACCTCTGGCCGTTAAAACGTCGCATTCTTTGAAATGTAGTTGTGTATTTTAGGGTGTCATTTTTCTGGTGAGTGTTATAGTTTAAAGATCTGGAAGCCGTTGGAGCTGTTATAAAGATGTACGACCTCGTTGTCGACACGAGCAGCTGTGTGATAACATGATGTCATCATGAACCAGTACAGACTCTTCTTTGGCTTCTGCCTTTGACGGATTATAACGCAATGTGGGAGTAACTGCTTCAGAAATGGAGATAAGTCTGTCTCTATAAACTTGAAGCCCAAAAGGAGTAAACAGAGGTTTGAGAAGATGAGTTTCCAGTGTCTGTATATGGGATATCTTTTATTCTGTCGGCACTGCATGTAATCTGTCTGAGTGATGATCTCTGTTCCTATTCTAGTCAGAAACGACCAACTCTGCTTGCTTTTGAAAAAGATGCACTTGTAAAAAGAACTCCAAATACCAGGCTACATATAACAACACTGAATTTCACAAAAACAGTGTTGCCAGTTAATATTAAAGGTTGTTTAAAAATACACACATTTTTAAAACTTTTAAAACTCTTCAAACTGGATTTTAAGACCCAAAGGCATGACATCAGATCTGAGCAAACCTACATTCGTCTTCTGCAATCTCTTATCTTGCAGCATTTCTTTTAGATATCTTTTATAGATCTTGCATTTATATATTTTCTCCCATATGCCGCCTTCTAGTACTTGTATCAGAAGCTGCATTCTTCGCAATTCTAACTTGAACACTGATTTGTGAACACAAACTGAGGTTTGTGTACTCAAATCATGACAGCTTGGTTCTAAACTTCTCCATAAAGCTCAGACGTAAAGGTCTAACAACTTCCACAGTATTTTGTCCTCTATATACTTCTGTATGTTCAGGCATATCATAAATACCCCAAGTCTCAGGGATGTCGCTCATCCAAGCTCGAAATGCAGACTTTGACACTCTTTAAAGAGGACCTTTGTCTCTCACTCTCCATTCTGCTGTAAGCACTTACACCTTGGCACTTAAGCCAAAGGACACCTTGTGCATATTTCTGAATGGCCAGTTCAATCTAAAAGAAAAGCATGAATTGACACCCTGGGGTGAGAGTAAGTTGGAACTTTCCACCCAAAGATGTTTTTTTTATATTAGTTACAATAGGCAAAGGAATTTTAAATGAGATTTTCCAGCTACCTGAGAAGCAAGTTATTTGTTTTGGTGGTGCTCATTTAAAATAAATAATAACATAAATATATTTACTAGCAATTAATAAATGATACACAATTCAACACGGAAGCTGGGATTAGCCACATAATTCCCTCTCTGATAATCAAAGCAAGCTGGATACTTTGTTTTAGCATTGATGAGAACTCTATAACTCATTAATGTATCTGGAATATTTGAGCAGCAGTCACTTTTGAAATCCATCACATGATCCTCAAAGGATGTCCCCAAGACTCCTGCAGTCTCCGACTTTGTACTTTAACACTGAAACACCCTTGACAGTGATCATTACTGAGGATCAACGCAGGTAAATAAAAATAAGATACCAAGATATTTAATGTGGAAAAGATGGAAAACATAGAAAAGCAAGTTACTAGTTTGACAAGTTTGATGCTATCAACTATTTTTCAAGGGTCTTTCTCATGTGAGAAATATGTTTGTACCATGAGAGAATTTCAAATCTGAATTTCAGTCTCTCCCTCACTACAAAGGTAAGTTCTGTATAATCCACCATGTCTGTGAAGTCTCAATGGCCAGCTCACGCTTGCTGTCCCTTGGTGTGCATGACATCAGTATATTTCACAGTGTCATTTCCTGTCAAGTTTTTCTTCTGCTTTTCAAATCACTCTGCCCCTTTTTCAGTGGAAAAGCGACACACACAAAGTGATGAGGAAAAGCCGTGACATTAGGAAGCTCAGGCGCACACAGTCATAATGTGCGAGCAGACGCTGGTTCTTTTGGATACAAAAACATATCTTTTGTTCTTTTCCCTCTGTCAACAGACCATCAAGGCAACATCTCCCCTCGGCGACCCCAGGGTGACCTACAACCTGGAGGAGGGTCAGGTACCGGAGACCAACATGCCAGTGCGGTTCTACATGAAACCAAACCGGGCCGACGGCTCGGCGTCCATCCTGGTAGCCGAGAACCTCGACTATGAGACGACGCGCTTCTTCACGCTCAGAGTGCGCGTGCAGAATGTCGCTGCTGTGCCGCTCGCCTCCTTTACCACGGTCTATGTTAATGTGACAGGTGAGTTTGTATGGTTAAGGGTCAAACATTTTCAACTCCTTTAGCCAGACTGCTAGTCAAAAACGTGGATTCAGTCCCATAGGTTTGTACAGGTAACCAATCAACTTACAGCTCTTTCATTTAAATAGTACAAGGCCCCTGTTGGCTATATGCACTCAGTGTGAGTGAGTCTCAAAGATGAGATATTGACATATTTGCATATTGATAGATATGTTCACAATTCTAAATATGCTATATTGATGAACAAAGCAAAGTATTTAGTGGTTTAAAAGTTGCCATTACAAGGACTTTAAAATGAGTAGCAGAGCTCTGACCATCAAATGTAAAGAAGCCGTTGGTGAGCAACAGAAACTCGGGTGTAATGAGAGACAAGCTGGAGGAAATGACAAGAAGAGAAAGATTAATGAAGTGCGGTTCATATCCAGGGTCGTTTCTGGCAGAAAAAGAAGAAAACAGAAGCGACCGGTGGTGTCAGCTCCATGCCGTCTCCCTTTAACAGTGACTCACTTCCCAAACAGCATCTGTAGGCGGGTGGAGAGAAGGAAAGAGGAGAAAACACTTCCTGACTTTGATTGGCTTTGAACAAACCCACATCGGACGCTGTAATTGGCTTAGCGGAGCTTGAAAGTGAGCTGACAAGCTGCTTTGTGGACTCTTCAGGGTGTTTGGAGGATAATTCCTCACTAATAACTCAGTTTTCATTAGTGAGGGTAGACATAGTCCAGCTTCACTTTCTGATGGACTTTTTTTTTAAATTTTGCCTTTTTGTCTCTTTCTGCTTTATTTCACTGTAATTCATCTTTACTTTTTAATCTCCTTTACTGCTGTTCTAAAAATCCAATCTTATTTCTGTCTCTTTGCCTTCTGTCTTGCTTGTTCTTTCTTTCTGTCTTTGTTTATTTCCTGCTCACTTTTCCATTCCTTCTAGCATTTTCTTTCTCTGTCTGTTTTTAATCCACTTTAATCAGCTTTCATGGACATGACAGGCTGTATGTGTTCTTTTGCCAGATCCTTCAACAACAAAAAAATATGAATGTGGGAAAATAAAGGATATTTTTTTCTACTGTTTCTTTTTGTTTTTTTCCCCCTCAGACGTGAACGACAACGTTCCTTTCTTTCTGTCGTCCACCTATGAGGCCACGGTTCCCGAAGGAGCGCAGATGGGCACGTCTGTGGCTCAGGTGTCAGCCACTGATCTGGACTCTGGTCTGCACGGGATGGTGAGAAACGTCTGTACTGATCGTTAATGATATTCTACTTCCTGTTCTTTTTCTGCTTCACTGCATCTCTCTGTGTTCTTCAGATCCACTATGTGATCCTGAAGGATGAAAGTGGGGACTCTCAGTTCTTCAGCATTGACTCCCACAGTGGGATCATTTTCACTCGAGCCTCTTTTGACCGTGAGCAGAAAGCTTCATATCTGATAGAGGTGCAGTCACAGGACGGCTCGGAGTCGGCCCGACAAGGCCAGCAGGGCCAGCCTAACACAGGTAACGCACAATCAGAGAGAAGGCCTGCAGTCCAATTAATATAAAAGAGATCATTTGCAGACCTTATAAAACGAAAGTCTAGAGAGTCTTGCATGTGTTTGGATACGTTGAAATTATATTCCTGAGCAAAGCCTCCGTCCAACTTTGACTCAGACACAGCCTATGTCAGGATCTTCGTCACCGATGTGAACGACAACGCCCCGGCATTTGCCCAACCGGTGTATGAGGTGAGCGTGGAGGAAGACAAGGAGGTCGGCTTCGTCCTCATCACCGTCACGGCCAACGACGAGGATGAAGGTGAGTTAGAATCTGGCAGTTTTTCTGTCTCTCTGGGATGCACCTGTTGTTGTTGCTGTCAGTGGTGGCAGTGAAGTCAGTTCTTTGTGATTTCATGTGAACTTCAGTCAAACTGATCAAAGTCTCTGACTGAGTGTGCAGTTAGTCATAAAAACAAGTGTTGAGCAAGAAATTAGGTGCGTGAACTGAATGATCTGTTGCCTGCCTCTCTGTCTCTCCCCTCTCCCATTGAGCGCTGTTTCCTTTCCATACTTTTTTATAATCTTTCTCCTCTTTTTGCCTCTTTGCTTCTGTTTGGATGATTTGCATCCCCTCTTCTCCCCTTTCTGCTTTTCTTGTCTCAATCCACTCTAATTTTCTGCTCTCTTCTTTTTTGAATTTGTCTCTTCTCTTGATTTTTCTTAAGATAAACTTTGCTCTGTATAAGGTGACATTTGTTTTCTTCCACTGCAATAGCTGGTGGTCATGTCTCATTGTAAAATCTTACATTAGAAAGTCTGGATCAGTTTAACAAAAGCACACCTACGTTTTACAGCTTAAAAACCACTTAATTTTTATTGCTGTTTATTGAGACTGTGGGCAATAAATTTGAAGAGGTTTTGTTTGTTTGTTTTTATGTGTGTCTAAATTCAAAATCAGGCTGCCCAGGTTTAAACTAATATGTTACTTGCTTTAGTGAAATTATCCAGTTTGTTGTTGTGAGACCTCACATGAAAGCTTGATCAGTGTTAAAGTGTTACCACACAGGATTTATATGGTGGATGATATTATCCATTATCTATTCAGACCTGCAAATCACTCAGTCCGCTCTTGTTGTTGATGTAATACAAAGTGGGACACGCTTAACCAGTGTGGTTCACATACACAAAGTGAATGAAAATGAATGCTCTGTTGAACTGAGAGTAAACAGTCGTGCAGACAATCGGGCTTTAGATGTGAGGCAGAATACGGATACTCAGCATTACAGTAAATGATCTTTGATGGCACTCTTAATGTTTGCAGTTTCTGTTGTTTCTGGTCATTAGTTGAAGTTCACAGAGTGTATATTAAAGATGGATGTAGCAAAATTACACCAACAAAAGTTCCTTAAACCTGTATTATTTTTGATCGCCATTAATGGCTGACTCCTCTGTTTGCAGGCTTGATTGTACTGAAAGACCCAGAAAAATGTTGAAAGTACAATTTGTAGTAAACGTCCATGTAAATGCTTCTTTGCTCGCCCAGTGGCTGCCCACTGCTTCACTGAGTGAATGGGTTAAATGCAGAGAGGGATTTTCCCCACGGGGACCAATAAAGTACACTTTCTTTCTTTCTTTCTTTTCTTCTTTAAAAAATATCTAAATAAAATCACGAGAACCAGTGTGGCACCCATCTGTTTATAACTGTTAACTAATCATTTATAGTTACTTGTGTAACTTTGTTTACTTTGTTTAATGCACCAAATAGAGGTAGCAGTCTTAGTTTTATTCTGTTTTCCATTGTGTACTAATTATAAAACCGTTTAAATGTATTCAGACTTCACAATAAAACTGAATACAAAGCCCAAGTCTATACCACATGAAAACATGTACTTTTAAGCTCTACACTTCCCATAGGTCTCCAGATGACTAACGTGAACAGAAATGTTTTTTATTGAGCTGAATTCAAATTCAACTTTATTCAAAGAGCTCTTTCAAGGCCCTTGTACTGTAAGGTAAAAAACATATTGCATTAAAGGATGAACCCCCAACAATGAGATGATATCCTATGAGTGAGCATTTAGTGACAGTGTGAAGGAAGAACTCAGTTCATATATTCTGGATTTAACAGGGAAGTAGATAAAAAGAAAAGCTAGTTAAAACAGACTAATATGGGATAAATATCTCTCTTTCTATTTCCTGTTAGTACTCTCACTGCAGTGTTTTGGATCAGCTGAGGGTTTTTCGTGAAACTTTTAGATGATCCGGATAATGAGGAATTACAGTTGAGTATTTCAGCCTCAACATAATAAATCCATGAACTAGTTTGTCAGCATTACTTTCAGACAGGATTTTTTGTTTAGTTTTGACAATGCTACGAAGATGAAAGAAGGCACTCCTGTATATTTGTTTTATGTGCACATTGAAGAACATATCCTCCTCATACAGCATGTTCTCAGCTCCTCCTGTAAATTACATCGTAAATTACATATCGTCCCTATAGTTTTACTGATTTGTGTCATCTGGCTTCACAAATAAATACAACTGGTTGTTATCTGCATGGCATTGGAAATGTATGCATTGTTTTCTAAAGATATTACCTGAGAGACCCATGTGTAAATTAAAAGGTATTGGTCCGAACTCAGGACCCTGTGGAACTCCATGACTAACTTTTATGCATGACAAAGAATCCTCATTTATAAAAACTAATTGACTTGATTATGTTTCAAATCAGTGCATTTTCTTTAATCTAAGTGGCATGCATGGTAGGTTTTGGTTAACAGTAATTAGTCTCACACTGATAAGAAATTAGCTTCGTTAAACTGATAATGTTAGATAAGTAAACATTGCTTCTCAAGCTGCGCCTCCCACATTTTGGAAGCACCAGAATGTTAAATTACCTTAACCTACGTGACAGTATTTTAAATTATAGCATTTTTGGTTTAACCTACTTACCTAACATCAGAGTGCCTCCATTCATATTTGATATACAGGTTATGTGGAAAGTATTCTTGCTTTTTTTGTTGTTGTTTGCTTTGTTTTCTTTTTTTGGAGGGTAATTGGGTAGTTGTGTCTGTGCTAACAGAAGTACATTTAAGTAGTTTTAAAAACTGATTTTAAAATTTTCATGCTCTTCAGTTTTCTTAATTTATTAGTCCCCGTTCTCCTCACTGTTGTCACTCGTCTCCACTCTCCTTATTTTCTCTCCTCTGTTTTATCTCCTTCTCTCTTCTTCTCTTGCTGTCACAGCTCGTTAGCGAGTGCCGCTGCTCCCTTGAGGTCGGCGGTTTTGATGTTTGTCTCTTTGTTTGTGTTTGTCCCTCATTCCTCTTCCTCCTCCGCTCTAAACCAATAAGCACCAGGAGGCAAAAAAAAGGAAAAATATCAGAAAACAACAAAAAACAAGCCTCTCTCTCTTCTACTCTCTCTCTTAATGACAGCTGTTGGCGTCAGATCAACGCCTTTGAGGTTTTCTATACTCAGAGCATGAGTGAAGGAAAGAAGAGTGATGTCTTATTATTTATTTTTCTTTTTGTAATCTTTAACCTTTTTTTTTTCTTGTTGACTGCAATATACTTTTATACGGTGTGACACAGTCTACCTCAGACTATTCATCTTCTATATTCACCCTGATTCCCTGAGGAGTTCCCCAAACTTCCAGTCACTCGTCTTCCACTGTCTCCTTTCTTAATACTTTTTCCCACAGTTTGAGCAGACTTCCGAATTGAGCCATTTACTGAATTTCTTAAAAATAGAAATAAGGAACACCTTGCTAACTTGCTATAGGCTTCGCTAACAAGCTATAGCGCTTAAAAGAATATCTGGATGAATTTCAGTCCAAGTCGTTCCTGCACTTTTGCATGTTGGCTGGTAGCAGCAGAGTACATGTGTAATTGAGAGTTTATAAATACCATGTTGCATGACTCATAAAGCCAGAATGACAGCAGAAATACCATCAGTCATGTCATATTTGCAGAATGCACATCCCTTTTTAAAGTTGTGATTCTCTTTTTTTTTTAGTTTGTCTGTTATTTCTATGACCACTAATTGCTATCCCCAGAAAATATTGAGATCTTTAGCAAAAACACTCAGTGGTCTGACAGGTAGGCAGGATAGTCAGACTTATCTAGAAGAGAATACAAAGTAATAATCTATCAGCTCTTTTCTAACTACAGTTGTAATTGAAGTTATAGAAAACAGAAATCATACATTCAAATAAGCCATTAAAGCAATCTGTTAGCAAAGGTACTTACATTTAACTTAGAACTGTCATTTTTTTGTTGATCATATAGTCTTCTGAGTCAAAATTAAATTTCCCCTTTCATGTGGAACATTTGACTGACACATGCCAACTGTTCATAATGTAAATGAAGTCATATAAGGATGTTATTATCTATAAAGTTACGAGGTTACATCCCGCAAAACATGAGGAGGAATAAAAGTAACATTTTAAATGCAAACAGAAATCCCCACAAGCTGAAAAAGTTACACTGTGATGGGACGTTAGAGACTATTCTATAACTATTTCTTACTGCAAAGTTAAAAAAATATTTATACTAAAATATTTGGTATGAAAAAAGGAAGGTTAGCCCTGTAGTACACTGGTAACCTGTCCAGGAAGTACCCCACCCCTCACTCTAGGCCCACTTGACCCTAATTTTGATTAATATAAGAAAACAAATAAATTGAAAACAGAAGTTTCACTTTATTTTCTGGCCCTTGACTTGTTGATTAATTTATGGTTCATTTTCATTTGAGCACCTTCATAAACCCTATAAATTCTTTTTCTCTGGGAGCGCTCCATATTTTGAGGCTTGTGTCTGAAAATCTGCTTTGCTTTCTAATTTTTATTGAAAGTAGTTCAGTCAGTCAGTTAAAATAGCTGTTTTATTTATTTTTCTCTTTTTTTATTGTTTTGTCTTTTTTATGTGGCCTTATTCCTGGAAATGTCTAGATTTAGTATTTTACCCCCCTCAGACTGATCCCGTGAGGTTCTGAAAGACGCTGAACACTGGATTAAGAGATGCTAAGATTGCAAAAAGCTGTACAAATCTTTAACCTTTTTTTCTTGCTGACGCTTTATCCCCACTTTTTTTGTCTCGCCAGAGACTCCCCGTAGTAATCAACAAACACTCCTCGGCCCTATACCACTTGGGGGTCCAAAGGCTCAGATAAAGAAAACCAGCCGTGTTGGCTTAAACATCCCTTAAACCTTCCTAACAGGCACGTTGGTAAGGGTGAGATTAACTAAACCCCCAGATCTGATCCATGCTGAATCAGCTCTGTGAGCGTAAAAGAGGGAGATCAGGGTGAAATGTTTGT